GTTTCTCTCATCCCAGCAGGAAGGCCTAGCTACATTTGAAAGAAACCAGCTGACTGTTTGCTTGTCATCTATGTTTCAGAGTTGAGCACAGTTGAGTCTAGCACAAAGTAGAAGCTAAAGAGCATTTTTCTGAATAAAAGATATTGCCACCTATTCCCATAAGAATTTATGTATGCAGGCAGATATGGAGGGAGAGCTGCTTTGAGTCCCACATTACAAATAGTTCCTTCCTACTGCTGATAATTTTGGTGACAAGTTTGTCTGTGTTTCCAAGCATTATGTTCTCCCATCTCAGCTTTCCTTTGGAAAGAGCCATTTTCTCACCTCTCAAAAAAGGAGGTGACACTTCACTTGGGGAGAGAACAGACAATTTTACATCTAACTCTTCTGCTGGGAAAGGCAACAGCTGACAAGGGCTGTGATCAAAACCTATAAAGGAAAAGGGAACAAATTTCAAATCACTTGAAGGAGCTTGCTTGTCCCCAAGGGCCAAGGCCAGGTGTGATTCATCTAGGAGCCTTCAGGGATTCTCAGCTCTGCAGGGGAGTACGTTGTCCTCGAGATTCTGCCTGCAGCCCTGCAGCTGGGTAGTGGAACCATGGAGACTTATTCAATCAGTTTCTCTACTTTTGTTTATACCTGAAAGTTTCTGTAATTAAAAACACACACTCACAGCAATAACTCAGCAATTTGGGCATGGCGTAGGAGAGCGTGCAGGCTCTTAAGTCAGAATAAGGATGTGATTCTTGATTCTGCAAGATACGGCTATGTACTCTCAAGTTCCTTCCACTCTGGAAGCCTCCATTTTCTCTTCTGTAAAATGGGCATGATAATTAGGCCCTGTCCCCTAGGACTGCTGTGAGGATTAAATGAGATCTTTCCTATAAAGCCCCTAGCCCAGAAGGACTTAGTAAGTCTCCATATGTCGGAGCAGTCAGGGTTTCCCTGCCTCGCTTCTACCATGTATTGACATTTGGGGACTAATACTTCTTGTTGGGGGGCAAGGTGGGGGATATCCCGTGCATTGCAGGATGTTTTGCAGCATCCCTGGCTTTTACCCCTAGATTCTAAGAGCACCTTCTAGTCATGACAACTAAAAATGTCTCCAGACACTGCCAAATGTCCCTTGTGGGGAGGTGGGAAGCAAAAGTGCCCCTTGTTGAGAACCACTGGTCTCAGCCTTTGTTGTTGTTAATGAACAATAATGCCCTTTTCCTGTGAGGCTGAGGCATCTGATTTGTGAGGGGAGCAGCGACCAGGTTGGGCTGTGGAAGCTGCAGCTGGCGCTGTCGCAGACAACATACGCAGTCTCAAGGTTTATTACCCCCATAATGAGATTCACATGGATGAGCAAGCGGTTTTTGTGCCAAGATTCATATTTAAGTTTTTAAAAATCTACACGAGAGCATTATCTGGAAATTATTCTATTTGGGGTTCTACTGAGGTTGTGGAAGGGTGACATTGGGCTTAGGATCTTGATATAAAGCCTTGAATTTATAGAATTCCTTCCTCCCCTTTAAAAAGACAACAACTTTTCTGATTTCCAACCCTTGAATGCACTTTGCAGAAAAATTAGAAAATACAGAACAAGAGATATGAAAAGGAAACTTACCCACTGTAGTGGTTAATTTTATGTGTCAGCTTGATAGAACCATAGGATACCTAGATACTTGATAAACATTATTTCTGGGTGTGTCCATGAAGGTGTTTTCAGGAGAGATTAACATTTGAATCAGTGGGCCGCCAGGTGGCGCACTGGATAAGTGCGCCGCTTGGGAAGCGCGGTGGCGCTCCCGCCCGAGGGTTCGGATCCCACATACAGACCGTTCCCGCTCACTGGCTGAGCGAGGTGCGGGAGCAACGCCGAGGGTTGCAATCCCGTTGCCGGTCCCCGGTCCGGTACGGGGGCAACACTGAGGGTTGCGATCCGTTGCCGGACACGGAAAAAGACAAAAGACAAAAAAAAAAAAATCACATTTGAATCAGTGGACTAAGTAAAGCAGACTGGCCTTCCCCAATATGGGTAGGCATTATCCAACCCCTGAGGGCCTGAATGGAACAAAAAGGCTGGGGAAGTTTAGTTTCACTCTCTCTCTGCCTGTTTGAGCTGGGACATCAGTCTTCTCCTGCCCTTGGAGCTCCTGGTTCCCAGGACTGCAGACATGGTCTGAATCTACCTATCGACCCTCTGGCTCTCAGGTCTTCCAACTATACCATCAGCCGTCCTGAGTCTCCAGCTAGCAGATGGCAGATTGTGGGATTTCTTAGCCTGCATAATCATGTAAACCAAAATGTTATAATAAATCTTTTTATATGTAATACATATCCTATTGTCTCTGTTTTTCTGGAGAACCCTGACTAATACACCCATAATTCTAATTATGTGTGTGTGTGTGTGTATGTGTGTGTATTTTATAAAGATGGGAGATATGTTTTCTTTCTTTTTTTTTTTTTTTGTCTTTTGTCTTTTTTTCCGTGTCCGGCAACGGATCGCAACCCTCAGTGTTGCCCCCGTACCGGACCGGGGACCGGCAACGGGATTGCAACCCTCGTGTGTATTTTATAAAGATGGGAGATATGTTTTCTTTCTTTTTTTTTTTTTTTGTCTTTTGTCTTTTTTTCCGTGTCCGGCAACGGATCGCAACCCTCAGTGTTGCCCCCGTACCGGACCGGGGACCGGCAACGGGATTGCAACCCTCGTGTGTATTTTATAAAGATGGGAGATATGTTTTCTTTCTTTTTTTTTTTTTTTGTCTTTTGTCTTTTTTTCCGTGTCCGGCAACGGATCGCAACCCTCAGTGTTGCCCCCGTACCGGACCGGGGACCGGCAACGGGATTGCAACCCTCGTGTGTATTTTATAAAGATGGGAGATATGTTTTCTTTCTTTTTTTTTTTTTTTGTCTTTTGTCTTTTTTTCCGTGTCCGGCAACGGATCGCAACCCTCAGTGTTGCCCCCGTACCGGACCGGGGACCGGCAACGGGACCGCAACCCTCGGCGTTGCTCCCGCGCCTCGCTCAGCCAGTGAGCGGGAACCGGTCTGTATGTGGGATCCGAACCCTTGGGCGGGAGCGCCGCCACGCTTCCCAAGCGGCGCACTATCCAGTGCGCCACCGGGCCGGCCCAGGGAGATATGTTTTCTGACCTGACTTTTTCATCTAACGGCACATCTGGAAATTCTTTACATATTATTAAATAACAAATTTTCTTCCACAATTTTTTTTTTAACTTTTTCCTGCTTAAGACTCTTCTATGGTTCCCAGTGACCAGGGAAACAGGCTTCAGAAGGGGAATAGGCTGAAGCCACACTCCATGGTTTCTGTTGAATCACAGTCCTTTAAAGGTGTTATCTGGCCACCTGGAGGCCAGAGATCACAAACTTCATTAAGGGAGAGTGCAGAGGCTGGGGAAGTCATTTTTGCCTCCAGGATGAGATACAGACATTTTTAGCTGCTGTTCATTCTCTCCAATGCCCAGCCTCAGTCTAATGGCATCTCTAATTTATAGCATTGTTTCCAATTTCTGCAATGGAATATGTTTACCTATCTTTTCTTGTTGGATATCAAGGGTTGTTTCTATAGCAACAGTTGTGTGATAAATGTCTTTACACATACAGTCAATCCTCATTATTCATGGACTCCATATTTGCAATTTACATATTTGCCCAAATCTACTTGTAACCTCAAAAGCAATACTCACAGTGCCTTTGTAGGCATTTGTGGACATGTGCATTTGTGGGTGTAGGGGGGTGGGGGGGGTAGAATTTGAGTCACCCGATGTGCATGCTCCCAGCTGAGTTCAAAGAATGAAATGCTTTGCCAGCTTGTTTTGGTTCTCACACGGTGAACAAATGTCCTATCTTAATCCATTCGGGCTACTGTAACAAAATACCATAAATTGGGTAGCTTATAAACAACTGAAGTTTATTTCTCAGAGTTCTGGAGGTTGAGAAGTCCAAGATCAAGGCAGATTCAATGTCTGGTCAGGGTCCATTTCCTGGTTCATAGATAGTGACTTTTCATTGTGTCCTCACATGGTGGAAGGGATAAGGAGTCTTTCTCAGGCCTCTTTCATAAGGGCATTAATCCCATTCATGAGGACTCTGCCCCCATGACCTAATCACCCGCTTAAGGCCCTGTCTCCTAATGCCATCACCTTGGGGTTAGGATTTCAATGTATAAATTTTTTTTTGGTGGGAGGGGACACAAACATTCAGACCATAGCATAATCTTTCACTGTACATTTAGTACCACAGTTGTACATTTGTGTACTTTTGTGGCATGATTTCATTGTTTAAAATGGCCCCCAAGTATACTACTAAAGTACTGTCTAGTGTTATAGCACAAGAAGGTTGTGCTATGCCATATGGGGAAATTATGCATGAGTTAGGTAAGCTTCATTGAAACATAAGTTATAATTGAATTAACTGTGAGTTCAATGTTAACAAATCAACAATATGAGTATATATATTAATCAACTATATATATATATTTAAAGAAACACACATATACATATATTAGGTATCTTTAAACAGAAACACACATAAAATAAGGTTATATATTTATTGGGTGATGAAAATGTTGTTACCAAAGTCTTACAGGAACCTAATTCTGTATTTCCCCTAGGAGCAATGATTCAGTATTTGCTCAGTGTTTTTGGTGACATCATAGAATATAACTATTATGAATAATGAGAATCGACTGTATCTGTGCATGTGATCATGATCATTGCTTTAGGATAATTACTGGGCCCAAGTAGAATACCTCTTTTGAGTTTGTATCAGTTTGCTCTTGCTATGTAACATACAGCCCCCAAACTCAGTGGCTTGAAATAATAAACATTTATTATTTTCACACAAGTTTTTTTTATTATTTTCACACAACACCTCTCAGCTGGGAGGTGTTGTTGATCTGGATCAGGCTCAGTAGGTCTCCGCTGGGCTTGCTCATGTTTGTGGTCTGGTAGTGGGTTGGTGGGAGCTGGCAGGACTAGGATGGCCTCACCTTCCAGTAAACTTGCCTGGGCTTGTTCACATGGTAGCATCAAGGTTCCAAGAAAGCGAGTGGAAGTATTCAATGCCTCTTGAGGTCTAGGTTTTGCACTGGCACAACAGTCATATCTGCTGCATCCTATTGGCTGAAGCAATCAAGAAGGCAGTCCAAATTCAAGCACTGAGAAACAGACTTGGTCTCTTGATGAAAAGACCTGAAGAGTTGTTATTGCAAAAGGAGGGGTGAAGAATTGAGAACATTTTAAGAATCTGTCTACCACAGATTTCATATCATTAACCATCTTTTGTTCTCCCCCTGCAGGATGTGGTAAGAGATCATTCCCTTTGAAGTCTCATAGATTTGATGTGAAAGTAAGAATTAGTAATAATTAATAAACCTTAATATATACCAGGAACTGTATTTTTTAAATAAACTTTTACTTTAGAATAGATTTTTATTTACAGAAAAGTTTTAAAATAGTACAGAGTTTCCATATACCCCACAGTCAGTTTCCTCTGTTATTAACATATTACATTAGTATGGTATGTTTGCCATAACTAATAAACCTATATGTGTGTGTGTGTATATATATATATTTATTTGGGGGGGGGCTGCTGTCTGGTATGGAATAAACCAATAGTGATTTATTGTTACTAAAAGTTCATATTTCATTCAGATTTCCTTACTTTTTCCTAATGTCCTTTTTCTGTCCCAGGATCCCATCCAGGTTACCACATTACATTTAGTCATCATGTCTCTTTGAGCTCCTCTTGGCTGTGACAGTTCTCTGACTTCCCTTGTTGTTGATGACCTTGATGATTTTTTTCTTTCGTTTTTAAAAATTATTTATTGATTGATTTTTTTACAATGTAGTTGATTTTCGTGGTCCTTTACCAATTCCTGCCGTCCACCCAATCAACATCATATGTTCACTTATTTTAACAAGTTCAAGGAATTATTGTGTTTGCTGTGTCTCCCCCCCTTATTTGTTTATATATTTATTAATTTACTTTTATTAGTTCCCACATAGAAGTGAGAACATGCAGTATTTCTCTTTCTGTGCCTGGCTTGTTTCACTTAACATAATTTTCTCCAAGTTTATCCATGTTCCTGCAAATGATAGTATTTCATTCTTTTTTACACCAGAATAGTATTCCATTGTATAGATATTACTACATTTTCCTTATCCACTCATCTGATGATGGACATTTAGGCTGGTTCCAACTCTTAGTTATTGTAAACAGTGCTGCAATAAACATGGGAGTACAGGTATCCCTTCAACATGATGATTTCCATTCCTCTGGGGTATATATTTAGTAGTGGGATAGCTGGGTCATATGGCAGACCTTGATGATTTTGAGGAGTACTGGTCATGTATTTGTAGGATGCCCCTCAATTGGAATTTGTCTGATGTTTTTCTCATGATTAGACTGTGGGTTATGGGTTTTGGGGGAGGAAGACCCTGCCCATCAGGTGTCAACTAAGGCTGATGGGGGAAACTGGACTTCCACCCCCACCTGACAGTAAGGAGGTGGCACTCTCCTCCCTCCAACTCTCACACCAGAATACTGTCAGGGAACATCAGCTAAAATGGAAGGTTTAAATGAGATCTATAGTCTCATAACATAATACCAAAATGTCCAGGTTTTGATTGAAAATTATGTATTCAAAGAACCAGGAAGATATCAAACTGAATTAAATAAGACAATCAGTAGATGCCAACATGCAGATGACACAGATGTTAGAGTCATCTGACATTGATTTTAAAGCAGCCACCATAAAAATGCTTCAGTGACCAATTGCAAACATGATTGAAACAAATTTTTTTTTTTTCCTTTTTTTTTTTTGTCTTTTTCCGTGTCCGGCAACGGATCGCAACCCTCAGTGTCGCTCCCGCGCCTCGCTCAGCCAGTGAGCGGGAACCGGTCTGTATGTGGGATCCGAACCCTCGGCGGGAGCGCCGCCACACCTCCCAAGCGGCGCACTACAGCAGTGCACCACCGGGCCGGCCCCAATTGAAACAAATTTAAAAATAAAAAGAATAGAAAGTCTCCACAAAGAAATAGAAGACATAAAGAAGAATCAAACGGAATATTTTTGTTTGTTTGTTTTTGTTTTTGGCAGCTGGCTGGTAGGAGGACCTGAACCCTTGACCTTGGTGTTATTAACACCACACTATCCAGCTGAGCTAACCAGCCAGCCCCAAATGGAAATTTTTTTTTTTTTTTTTTTAAAGATGACCGGTAAGGGGATCTTAACCCTTGACTTGGTGTTGTCAGCACCACGCTCAGCCAGTGAGCCCAGGAAGATCTCAATTTGGATGAGAAAAGAAAATCAACAGATGCCAATGCCAAGATGACACAGATGTTAAAATGATCTGACAAGGATTTGCAAGCAGGTGTTATAAAAACGTGTCAATAAGCAGTTACAAACATGCTTGAAACAAATGAAAAAAAATTGTTTTAGCAAAGAAATGAAAGTATAAAGAACCAAATGGAAATTTTATAGCTGAAAAATATAATAACAAATAGAAAAACTCAATGGATGGGTTCAACAACAGAATAGAGGGGGGTAGAGAAAAAAAATTAATGTACTTTAAGACAGAACAATAGGAATTACCTAATCTGAACAACAGAGGGAAAACGGAAAACAAAAAGATGAACAGAGCCTGAAGGACTTTGGGACTATAACGAAAGACTTAACATTCATGTCATCAGAATCTCAGAAGGACAGAAAAAAAGAGGGTGGGGCTGAAAAAGCACCTTAAGAAATTATGTCTGAAAACTTCCCAAATGTGGCAAAGAGATATAAATCTACAGATTCAAGAAGCTGAGCAAAGCTCGAATAGGATAAACACAAAGAAATCCACTCCAACACACATCATAGTCAAACTTCTGAAAACCAAAGACAAAGAAAAAAATCTTGGAAGTCATGATGGAGAAGCACCTTACCTACAGTAGAAAAACAATTTGAATGACAGTGGATTTCTTATCAGAAACCAGGGATCGTAGAAGAAAGTGACAGAACATTTTTTAAGTGCTGAAAAAAAGAACCATCAATCCAGAATGCAGTATCCAGTGAAAATATTCTTCACTAATAAGGGGAAAATTAAGATATTCTCAGATAAAAGAAAACTAAAAGAATTTGTCATCAGCAGACCTCCCCTAAAAGAATGGCTACAGGAAGTTCTCTAAACAGAGAGGAAACAATAAAAGAAGGAATATTGGAACATTAGGAAGGACGAAAGAACATGGTAATCAAAAATACAGATAAAAACAAAGAATTTTTTCTCTTCTTGAGTTTTTAAAATTATAATTGATGGCAGAAGCAGAATTATAGCACTGTCTACTATGGCTCTAAATGTATGTAGAGGAAATATTTAAGACAATTATATTGCAGACAGAAGAGGGTAAACAATAGGATCTGATTGACATTTATAGGGGGTAAAGGGACATAAAGGAAGGTAAGGTCTCTATACTTCACTTAAACTGGTAAAATGACGACACCAGTAGACTGTGAATACATACAGATGTAGATAGATTGACAGAGAGAGAGAGAGAGAGAGAGAGAGAGAGAGCTTTATCTCTCTCTATATATATAATGTAATACCTAGAACAACTATTAAAAATGCTATACAAAGAGATACATTCAAAAACAGTACAGATAAATCAAAATATGACTCGAAAAAATATTCAGGTAACCCATAGGAAAGTAGAAAAAAATAAATAGAGACAAATAATAGAGATAATAAGAATAAAGCACAAAATAAAATGGCAGACTTAAGCTCTAACCTATCAATAATTGCATTAAATGTAAATAGTCTAAATACACTAATCAAAAGACAGAGCTCCACAGAGTTGACTAAAAAAGCATGAGCCAAATATATGTTGTCTATGGGAAACTCACTTCAAATATATAAATATAAGTGGGTTGAAATTAAAAGGATCGAGAAAAGAAATATCATGAAAACATTAATCAAAAGACTGTAGGAGTGGCTATATTAATATTACATAAAGTTTACTTCAGAGCAAAGAAAATTATGAGACAGAGAGGGACATTATATAGGGATAAAAGGGCAATCCACCAACAAGACTTAACAATCCTAAATGCGTATACACCAACCAACAGAGCTACAGAATCAACAGGATCTGACCAACATTTATAGAACCTTCCACTAAACAACAGCAGAATACACTTTCTTTGCAAGTGCCCACAGAACATATATCATAATAGATCATATCCTGGGCCATAAAACAAACCTTAACAAATTTAAAAGAATTAAAGTCATACAGAGTTTATTCTCCAATGACAATAGAATTAAATTAACAGAAAGATAACAGGATAATGTTCATACACTTGGAAACTAAACAACACACTTATAAATAATCCATAGGTTAAAGAGGAAGCCTTAAAGGAAAAAAATACATTGAACTGAATAAAAATGACAGTACATTGTGTCAAAATTTGTGGCACAGAGCTGAAGAAGCACTAAGAAGGAGCTTTGTATCACTAAATGCATATGTTAGAAAAGAAGAAAAGTCTCACATCAGAAATCTTAGCTCAAGAAATACCACGTGTTCTCACTCATACGTGGAAGCTAAAAAGTTGATCTGATACAAGTAGAGAGTAGAGCAGTGGTTACTAGATACTGGTGGGGGGAAGTGAGTGAGGAGATGGGAGAAGGTGGTCAGTGGATACAAAATTCTAGGGACAGGAAGAATGGAATCAGGAAGAATGGAATCTAGTGTTCTATAGCAATATAGGGAGACTAAAGCCAACAACAAATTACTGCATATTTTTGAGTAGCTAGTCAAGATGATTTTGAATGTTCCTTCTACACAAAGAGGTGACAAATGTTTGAGGTGATGGATATACTAAGTGCCCTGATATATCACTGCACACAGTATGAACATACCCAAATATACTGTACTCCATAAATATATGCAATTATCATGGCTCAGTTAAGAAAAATAAATGTAAAAGAGGAAAAGAGAGAAACAGAGAATAGAATAGTGGTTACCAGAGGCAAGGAAAAGGAAGGGGGAGGGTGAGAGGAGGGGAAAGGTTGGTAGATCAGTACAAAGTTACAAAGTTAGTTGGACAGGAAGAATAGTTCTGGTGCTCTAGGGTGAGAATGGCTAATAATATTGTATTGTATATTTCAAGATAGTAGAAAAGAAGATCTTGAATATTATAACCACACACACAAAAAAGATAAATGTTTAGGTGATAGATATGCTAATTATTTGAATGGATCATTATACAATCTATGTAGGTATTGAAACAATGAACGGTACCTCATAAACATGTACAATGAAAAAAAAATCTAAGCTCTTACTTCAAGAACTTATAACAAGAAGAGAAAAATAAACCCAAAGCAAACAGAAAGAAGGAAATAATAAAGATAAAAGCACGAATCAATGAAAATGAAAACAGGAAAACAATAGAGAAAATTAATAAACAAAGAGCAGTTCTTTGAAAAGGTCAAGAAAATTGACAAGTATTTACCAAGGCTGACCAAGAAAGAAAAAGAAGACACAACATTCCAATATCAGGAATGTGAAATAGGGGCTATCACTACAGACCCTGCAGACATCAGAAGATAATGAGGGAATCCTACAAACAACTCTAAACACATAAATTTGAAAACTTAAGTGAAATGGATCAATTCCTTAAAAAACAAAAAAATTACCACAACTCACCCAGTATGGAATAGATTACTTGAATAGCCCTATAACTATTAAGAAAGTTAAATCTGAAGGGCTTGCCATTTAGCTCAATTGGTTAGAGCATGGTGCTGATAACATCCGTGTTGAGGGTTGGAATCTCCATACCAGCCAGCTGCAAAATAAATAAATAAATTTGTAAATTTGTAAATTTTTAAATTTTAATTTAACAGCTCCCACAAAAGAAATCTCTAGGTCCAGATGGCTTCCCTGGAGAAGTCTACCAAACATTTGAAGAATTAACACCTCTCCACAGTCTCACCACATCCCAATTTTTTTTTTTGGCTGACTGGTAGGGGGATCTGAACCCTTGACATTGGTGTTATAACATTATACTCTAACTAACTGAGCTAACCAGCCAGCCCTCATCCCAACTCATTTGATTAAACTACTGTTAACTCTGATATTGAAACCAGACAAAGAGTACGAAAAAGGGGAAATACAGACCAATATCCTTCATGAGTATAGAAACAAAAATACTTAACAATACAGTAGCAAATAGAATTCAGCAATATATAAAAAGAATTATACAGCATGACCAAGTGGGGGTTTATTCCATGGGTGCAAGTCTGGCTCAGTATTAAAAAAGTAATGTAACCCACCATATTAACAGGCTAAAGAAGAAAAATCACATGATTATATCATTTGATGCAAAAAAAGTATTTTACAGAATTCACATTCATGATAAAAACTCTTAAAAATAGGAATAAAGGGGAACTGCAGCTTGAGAAAGAGCATCTACAAAAATCTATACTAACATTATATTTGATGAAAGACTGAATGTTTTCTGTCTAACGTCAGAAACAAGGCAAGGATATTTGATTTCACTACTTATTCAACACGGTGCTGGAGTTTCTAGCCAGTGCAATAAGGCAAGAAATAGGAATAAAAGCCATACAGATTGGAAAGGAAAAAATTAAAATTGTTCCTATTTGCAGGTGACATGAATGTTCTACATAGAAAGTCCCAAGGAATCTACAAAACACCTTCTAAAACTAATAATAGATTCAGCAAGGTCCCAGGATGTAAGATAAACACACAAAAATCAGTTATATTTCAATATACTCACAATGAACTTATGGACTATGAAATCAAAAATATAATGCTATTTATAATTGTTCAAAAAATTAGTTAGCTGTAAATCTAACAAAACCTGTACAGGACTTGTATACTGGAAACTACACAATACAATGAAAGTAATCAGAAATCTAAACAAATGAACAGACATATTGTGTTCATGGTTTGGAAGATAGCATGGTAGAGATGTCAATTCTCTCCAGATTGATATGCAGGTTTAACACAATTCCTATTATATACAAGCAAGATTTTTTTGTAGATATAGACAAGATTATTCTAAAATTTATATGTAAAAATGAAGAAACTGGAATAGGTAAAAGAATTTTTAAAAAGAAGAATAAAGTGGGAGGAAACAGTCTACCCAATTTCAAGATTTATTATGTAGCTCCAGTAGTCAAGAATATGTGGTAATAGTGGAGGACAGAACATAATAGAGAACCCAGAGATAGACCAACAAAAATATGCCCAACTGAATTTTGACAAAGGTAAAAAATTAATCAATGGAGGAAAGATAGTCTTTTCAAAAATTGATACTGGAGTGTTTGAACATCTGTGGGCAAAAAAAAAATGAACCTCAACCTAAGCCTCAAACCTTATACAAAGATTAACTCAACATGGATCACAGACTTAGATGTGAAATGTAAAACTATAAAACATTTAGCAAAAGCACAGAAGAAAATATTTAGGATATAGGCAAAGCATTCTTAGATCTGACACCAAAAACATGCTCCATAAAGGGAAAAATTTGATAAACTGGACTTAGTCAAAATTAAAAATATTTTCTTTGTGAAAGACTCCATTAAGAGGGTGAAAAAAACAAATTACAGATGGGGAGAAAATATTTGCAAACTATGTATCTGACAAAGGATTAGCATATAGAATATATAAAGAACTCTCAAAACTCAATAGTAAACAAACAAACAAGGAAAAAACTCAGTCCAATTAGAAAATGAGCAAAAGACATGAAGAGCTATACAAATGGCAAATAAGAACATGAAAAGATTTTTGTAATTTTGTAAATTTAGCCATCAGGAAAATGAAATTAAAACCACAATGAGATATCACTGTATACCTATCAGAATGGCTAAAAGAAAATATAGTGACAACACCAAATGCTGGTGAAGATGTGGGGAAACTGGATCACTCATAGATTGCTGGTAGGTAGGGATGTAAAATGGTACAACCATTCTGGAGGAGAGTTTGGCAGTTTCTTAAAATACAGACTTACAACTATCATATAACCTAGCAGTTGTACTCCTGGGCATTTTTTTGGCAGAGAAATGAAGACTTATGTTCACACACAAACCTGTACATAAATGTGTATAATGTTTATAGCAGCTTTACTTGTAATAGCCCCCAAATGGAAACAACTCAGATGTCTTTCAATGGATGAGTGGTAAACAGTGGTACATCCATACCGTGGAATAGTACTCAGTAATAATAAGGAACGGACTATTTACACATGCAACACACCTGGATGCATCTGCAGGGAGATTTATGCTGAGTTAAAAAAGCCAAACGGTTACATACTGTATGAGTCCATTTGTACAACCTTTTTGAAAGGACAAAATTATAGAAATGTGGAACAGATGAGTGGTTGCCTGGTGTTAAGGAGGGGGGGAGGTGCATGATGGAAGTGGCTGTGTCTATGAAAGGGCAACAGGCGGGATCCCTGTGAGTGATGGAAATATTTTGTATCTTGACTGTATCAATTTCAGTATTCCAGGTTGTGATATTGTACTATAGTTTTGCAAGATTGTTACCACTGGGGGAAACTGGGTACAGGGTACATGTGATCTTTGTATTATTTCTTTTCTTTTTTTTTTTTTTAAAGATGACCGGTAAGGGGATCTTAACCCTTGACTTGGTGTTGTCAGCACCACGCTCAGCCAGTGAGCGAACTGGCCATCCCTATATGGGATCCGAACCCGGGGCGTTGGTGTTATCAGCACTGCACTCTCCCGAGTGAGCCATGGGCCGGCCCTTTGTATTATTTCTTATACCTGCATTTGAATCTACAATGATCTCAAATAAAAATTTTAGTTAAAAAAAAAAACATTCATTTGTACCTGGTTAATCAGTCAGCACTTTCCCAGCCCCTATTTTGTAGAAAGAATCAATCAAACTAGAGAAAATCAAGATTCAGTACTGTAGGCTGAATTTTAGTAGTCTCCAAGCTTTGTCCTCTTCCATCACTCAATTGGGGGTCTTGCCTACTGAGATTAGTCTTGGGGATTCCAGTCTCTCATTTATTTAACATTATTATTATTTGTTAATCCTTCCATCAGGCTAATTCACTCAGCTTCCAGGTTGCCCTGGCAACCTAAGACTAATGTCCTCATTTAGTACTGAGAGAAACTAAAAAATGATTTGTTAAGCAGCCTCTGGATACAGGCCCCACATTATTTTTTCTTCATACGTGAGCTTCCGCCTGTATCATGTTGGTTTAGAATCACTCTTATTTTTCCTGATCACTAAATTCCTCTCCATCTAGCCTCTGTCTTAGGCCACTTTAGAAACATCAGCTTTTGAGATCAGGAAAAGACTCCCAAATCCGGCATCTTACCTGGATCTGAACCCCTCCATTTAGGGCCAGCTTGGAAAGAGTCACATTTTGCCCACAAAGGGGTTGCTGTAGATTCAAGAACAGAGAGATGGTGAGGTTTTCTCCCAGCAAAGGGTTATGCAACTTTTCTGCTGTTTCTGGGAGTATCAGCTCTCAGTTGACCATGTTTGAGGCAGGTATTGGTGGAGGAGGTGAGGTGGCATTGTTTCTGGCTTTGGATGCTTCCTATGCAAGAATCACTTCCCCCCAAGTCAGGGATAAAACTAGGAACCGAAAGAGGCAGCTGGAAGATAAAGGCCTTGGAATCTTTCTTTCTCAGTATATTCCATGGCTGCTCTGTGGTGGTGTCATCTGGGGCTGGGGGTGGGGGTGGGGAGATGGGGAATTAATGTCATGGAAAATTTTACTTCTGATTTCATCATTTAAAGAACTGGGAGAAGAGAATCAACATGTTTTAAATACCTACTACGTGCTGGACACTGTGTTGGGTCCTTTGCCGTGCCTTAGTTCATTGAATCTAAACTCCTGCATCTTCAAAACCACTCCCTGAAGAAAGTATTTATGTTATTCCCACTATATAGATGAGCAGAGTAGGGCAATGGGGGGTGGGGGTGGAAGTGAGTAACTTGCCCAATGTCACACAATGGGTGAGGGCCTGAATTTAAACCCAAGTCTGTCAGAATCCAAAGTTTATGGTTTTTATATTCTGTCATTCCGCTACAGAGGCAGTTCACTGTAATAACTAACTGGCGGACAGAGCAGTCTCTGCAGTTAAATGGATGTGGGTTTTCCCTGGTTCAAGCTATGTGATCTTGGGCAAGTAATTTAACTTCTCTGAGTTTCATTCTCCTCATTTTATAGTTGGAAATTAAGAATTCTTTCTATGGCCATAGGATTGTTGAGGGGATTGTGGAAGTCTGCATGTAAAGCACTCAAATAGTGCCTGGCATGTATAAACAATGGATAAATGTTAGCTAAAATCTGTTTCCAAAGCCAGCTCACTCAGTTCCCAGTTCCATCCCAAAACACTTTATCAACCTTCGTTTTCCCAAAACCACTCAAAAACCGCTGCTATCAATGCCCTTTTAAAGTTAAAGACAGAAATCATAACAATAGTGAATTGTTTTGGGGCATCACCATATGCCAAGCACTGAAACTATGCACTTTACTCCTTTTATCTTATTTAAATTATATGAGTGGCAAATCTCTAGGAAAGGGTGCTGAGTCCCTCATTTTAGCAGTGGCTGCTTGAAGGCAAAATGGAACGCATCCTTCCATATTGTCGAGTCACAGCAGTAGCAGAAACGTGTACTATCTATCTGTTGAGGGTTTATCGCAAACCAGACACTATTCTAAGTGCATTTCTAACATGATCTCGTGGAACCTTGTGAGGGAGGGGCTGCTATCATCCCCATTTTACAGATAAAGAAACTGAGCCTTAGATTAAATAATTTGCTGTGATAACCGTTTTGGTTCAGGTGGACCTTGATTTACTTAACACACATTTCTGAGGCCGTTTAAAATGAAGAATTCCTTTGTTAATTGCAAAGATGCCTTGCTTTGGGAAGTAAATAGTCCTACCCCTGCTTTCTCAATTCATTTCCCCAGGCCGTGTTTTCCCAAATCTTGGAATTTCAGAGCTTGGTATTTCAGGATGGGACTCTGGCTATGGAACTGCCCCAGGTCCCACAGTCTGACAGCTCCGGGACTCAACCCCGGAGATCTGACTCTCAGTATTGGGCTGCCCAATTATTGAGGAACTTTGGCCAGGGAAAGGAAGGGAGCAACCATGGAGTCTCCCATTTCCTCACCTGCGAAATGGGGTCAATCACGGGCCCTCTTTGTGTAGTTGTGGGGTTTTGTGGGTGTGGCCCAGCCCAGGGGCAGCCACTCTGTACAAGGAATGTGACAATGGACAGTAGAGGGAGGGCTAGAGCGTCGGAGGTCCCCACGGTGGTGGCGCGAGGGTGCGATGGGAGCCGATTCGGAAACAAGAGGCGGGGATTCATGAATTCAGGGCGGGGCTCGGAGCCTCAGCGTTTAGATGGGCAGTGGGCGGGCTTGAGATGCTGCAAATAGGATTGCGGCCCCCTGGGCGGGGCTTCTGGAAGTCGGGGCAAGGTTGTGCGGCGTCGACGGGCAGGTCCGAAGTAGTGGGAGGGAAGCTGGGTTTAGGGAGCCAGGAAGCTGGCTTAAGGGTTTGGGTGGGCAGTGGGCGGGTTTCAGAGGAGCTGATGTTCTGGTTTTAAGGGGCTCTAAAGGAATTTTTGAGGAGCCGGGGGACCTGGCCTTGCAGAGCCAAGAGGGTCAGTGGGCGGAACTCTAAAAACCCATCTCCAGGTCCTAAAAGGCGGTGGGCGTGGCTTGGAATCGCCTGTGGGCGTGACCCTTCAGCCACTCAGATCACTGGAGGGCTGGGCGTGGCCTTGGGCACCGCCTTCTACCTCGACCCACCTGCATCTGTTGGCTCGACCAGAGGGGGCGCTAGGGAGAGTGAGGCGTGGAACGCAGGGTGGGAAGAGGGCTTCCCCTCCCGGAAGTGGGCGTGGCGCGCCGCAGGCGGGCGGCCCTGGTTGG